TCACAGTGCTGCTATCATCACCCTCCCGTAGGAACTCAGATTTTTCAGAATTCTCAACTGTGGACTCTTCAAGTCTGGCAAGTAACTCACCTGTCAAAAAAGATTTGAGGCGTGGACATTTCCAAATATCTGAACTTTCTGTTGTCATCATCAACTCATAAGGTAATGACTCCAAAGCCTCCAAATTATTTAAAAAAAGGCGTTGGAGATATAATGGAGAGTCAGTCACCAGAAAGCCCACGAACTTTTTGCAACTTTGGATATCCAATTTTTTTAAAGAGGTGAGGCGACCTAGTCCATTTGGTAGGCGTTCAAGGTTATCACATCCCCAGATGGTCAAAGATTCAAGAGTAGGAGGTAGAAGGTCTGTTAACGATACTAGAAGAGGACAGTAATAAATATACATCCTCTTAAGACTAGAAAAGCTTGACAGACTGACAGGTAGAAGGTCTGTTAATGATTCTAGGTGGGGACAGTGAGAAATACTCATACTCTTAAGACTAGAAAAGCTTGACAGACTGTCTCCATCCTCCAATAAGAAAATAAGTTCACGGCAGTCATAAATTCTCAGAGTCTCAAGTGCGGTCATGTTTTGCGTGATGCTTCTAGGCAAGCAAGTAAGCTCTGAAATTCTGCTAATATCCAACTTGGTGAGTGAAGTGGAATCAAAAACACTCCTGAGAACTGCCTCTTTACAATTGTCCAAACACAGTTCCTGAAGTGATGGAAGACTCATTGGTGAATAAGTTAATTGAGGGCATCCTTTGATCTCAAACCGCATGAGTTGTGGTAATTGTCCATGCCTTGGCAATAAAGTGCTTCTCTTACAATCATTGAGTCCCAAGTACTCTAATTTAGAAAATGATGGACTGCCAATCCAAGATGGGAATTCCAAGCCTCCGTATGAATGAATTTTTAATCTTTTCAAATTGGAATGAGGCTTTAACTGCCTGAGTACCTGCAATTCATTACTTTCATCTCGTGAAGTCTGGAAGTCATTAGTCCATGCCAATGTTAGCTCTTCAAGGCCCTCGATCTTAAATAGGTTCGCCTCACTGGCATCTTGAATATCGGAGACATTATGGAGATCTTTGATAAGTAGCTCACCTTGTAGATCCTTCAAGTTGCTCAACTCTTTTAATCTCAGCCCACCAGATTGTCCCACAATAAATTTAGGCAACATCAAAAGATTTTTCAAATTGCCCATTTGGGGTGGCATCTTTTGTAAGCTATCCGTACCCCTAATATCAAGATGATGTAAGTCAACTAAATACACAATTCCAGCTGGCAACTCTCTGATTGCGCTGCAGTTGCATAGTATCATTGTTTGCAAGTACACAAGAGACCTCACAGAATTCGGTAAACATTGTAATGGACTGTCAGACAAATTTATGTAGCGCAAATGCTTCAATTTCTCAATTGAATTTGGAAGCTCAGATATTCTCCAACCAGGAAAAGATAAGACCCTCAGGCATCTTAATTTTTGTAGACACTCTAGAAAATATGTATCGCTAAACCGTCGTACAGAAGTAGCATATAATAGGAGTGTCCGCCAACTATTGGGTTTTTGCAGAAACTGAGATCTTCTAAAATCATTTTGAGTAGAGGATGACACATAGCGTGCCTTTTCAAAATTACCCTCCTTTTTCTCACTCTCTATCAGATTTTTGAAATTGCAGCATGTTTCTCCTGCAATATACTGCGCTAAATCATGCACAAGGTCATGCATCACAAAGTGTAATTGATTACTGCCATAACTGGTTGATTGTTGGAAAAGCCCTCGTGAAATTAAATCACGAAAGTATTGATCTCCCATGTCTTTCATTTGCCTTGCTCCATTCTGCTGCTGTTTTACAAATCCCTCAGCCATCCATAATAAAACTAAATCATCCTTGTGAAATTTATGATCTTTTGGGAACATAGCACAATAGGCAAAACACCTTTTCAGAGGGGCAGGAAGATGATGATAACTCAATCTCAAAGCTGGAAGAATGCAACTGCTTTCTTCTGGTAATTCCCATATCTCACTATTTAGTATCTTGACCCACCTCTTAGGATCTAGCTCAGCATGAAGAACTCCTCCAAGGGTTTTTACAGCCAATGGCAACCCTTTGCATTTCTTTACAATTTCTTCAGCAATTTCTTTGAGATACAAGTGCTCATTAAAGTCCCCCTTTCCCAATGCTTGTCTAGCTAATAATGACAAACAATGGTTCTGTGGAAGCTTTTCAAGGGGATAAATTTGATCAGTTGCCCTCATGGCTTTGGCGACACCCTTGCTGCGTGATGTAACAATTATTTTACTCCCAGCAGCTCCTGATATAAAGAGTCTTTGCAATTCATCCCAACAACTGTGGTCCTCACTCCAAACATCATCCAATACAAGTAGAAACTTCTTTCCAGATAACATATTGTACAACTTCCCTTGAATTACAGAAGAATCTTCAGAGCCACTGTACTCATTTTCAGTTATTCGTTGAATAATAGATCTTGTTATTCGACGAATATCAGATTCATCAGATACACAAACCCAAGCTTTAGGCTCGAACACACCCTTCAGTCTAGCATCATTGTAAACAAGTCGAGCCAATGTGGTCTTCCCTAGTCCACCCATGCCAACAATGGGAATCACATGAGGGTTTTCATCACCATCTTCATCATTCAACACTTTTTGAAGAATGGCATCTTTGTCGCCTTCTCGACCATAGACAT